GTACAAAGCCCCCCCTGAAATCTTGTCTGTGTAAAGTTAGAGTGTGTTCAGGTTTTTTTTTTTCCTCTCTCTCCCAAGGCTGATCGCTAATAATACATCGAAAGCACTTCCCTTTAGGTTGTGGGAAATCTATTCCCTTCACCTTGCCTCCTTTTTTTCCCCCCTGAAGGCTGTAACTTTACTTTTTTTTTCTCTCTCTCTTTTTTTTTTTTTAATCAGTTTGCACAATCGCTTAGATAAACACCAAGAAGGAGACTTCTCTTTAATTACCCAACGCACATCTTTCTGGGGGGCAAACAGCGGTCTGATTTTTTTTTTGTTTGTTTGTTTCTTTCACCTGCCAAACTAAAGGAGAGGTAGAAAAAGGAAGATGCAAGCGATTTGGGACCTTGAACAAGGCAAATATGGTTTTGGTATGTTTACTTATAGTTTTTTTTCTTCTTCTTTGACACTTTTTTCGGGCAATGTGTTGTGATTCTTGTGTTTCTCTTTTAAGGAAAACAAAAAATCCAAAAAAGCAAATGTTAGCTAACGTGCGTCTTAAACGATCGTTTCTAAGGTTACGTGGGTTGCTCTAAGGAGGGGAAGAGGGGAGGGGGGCAGACCCAAGTATGTGTAATTGCAGCACCATCAGTTAGCACGTCCTTTAGCTAAATAAAGCAAAGCAGCAAACAAACAAACAAGCGAACAAACCCAACGACCGGACTCGGCTTCCAGGTCCGAGGCAAAGCGCCTCCAAGTCATTTCCCCAGGAGCAGCGCCCGGGCGCTGCCGTCCCTGCCCGGCGCCGGGGCTGCTCGGGGGGGAGCGCGGACCGACCTGCTCCGGAGGGTGGGAGGGCAGGACAAGGCTCTTAACTTAAGTGATAGGTATTAAACTGCCCGGGATCGTGTCGCCGTGTGCAGCTGGCAGCGTTTATTTGGGGTAAAAAAAAAGAAAAAAAAAAAAGGTCGGTGGTGAAGGTATAGAGCCGAGATCCCCTCTCCCCCTCCGATCCCTTCCCTGGCTAAGCAAGTACAATGGAAAGAAGCTGGAATATACTCACCATCCGAAGGTGTGGTTGGTAGATCGGCTGAGGCTTTAAGGCAATTATTTATCCTTTTTTTTTTTAAGTATTATTGCAAAAGACGTAGATCTGACTTTAAGCAGCAAAAGTGTTTTGTTCTGGCAACAGCAAGAGAGGCACGGTTCCTCGTTAAAAAAAAAAAAAAATCACAAAACAGGATCTCTGCCCCCCCCAATCCCTTACCACTATCCCTTAAAAATACCTATTCGGTACAGTTCTCGCAGAAACCCTGATGCAGAAATCTTATAGTCCGGTCTAGGAGTGCCCAAGCCAATTAATTTTAAATCCTTAGGAATTAATCAGATTAAAATGTACAGAAGTTTCATTCTCGTATGCATACGTGAGCCAAAAGTCGTTTCCCTTTAAGAGATCCTTTTCTTTTAAAGTTGAATTTTAGGCAGATAAGAGACTTACACTAGGGGGCAGCCAGATACTGTACTTGCTCCAATCTTAAGCAATTTTTTTTCCTCTCTCACAGCATATGCTCTGATTTAGCACTGTAAATTTTTCAGAGGACCCAACTCTGACAGCCCCTGGTGATTTTCAAAGTACCACAAGCCAGTGGTTAAAAATTGCATTGACTTGGAAGTTCAGAGGCACACAATAGGAGCCACTTTCCCTATTCATGGAACTTCAGTGTGGTGGAAGAGAAAAACACACACATACTACATTGAGGGAGAAGAGGAATTCATTGAATTCTGTTAGACGTAACTGCTTTCCACTGAGTTCAGAGCGAAACTCGGTATTTGTTCGATGCTGTATTCATATTGCGATTTAATCTAGAAAGAATTAGAGGACTGTTAGGCAGCTTTCTGCCAGGAAAGCAGCTTCCCCCTCCTTCCTCCTCTCTTTTTGAAACCTAAAGATTTACACCGGCTCTATCCTCAACTCTATTTTAGCAAAATAAATCCTTCCACTCCCTCTCATTAAAATAAATTTACATCTGCAGTAAAATGGCAGGAGGGATGCGTTTGTTTATTTGGAAAACCAACACAGTCTCACTTTTAAACCAGAGCATTTCTATTGTCATTAGCCTCGGAGGAGGACAGAGGAGAATCTCCCCCTTCCTTGCGAGGCGCTCAGGTTTCGAGGATTATTTAGCGAAATTAGCTGCAGTTCATTTTTACATTCATCTGTTCTGTCTCAACCCACTCGCAGGGGTGTTTTCAAATAAATAGCAAAGCATCTAATGGTGCTAATAGGTAGTTATATCGCTGCATCCCTCGAAGAGCAAATAGTTAATCTGGGGCATTCTTCATTAATGCTTGAGCAATCAGCATATACGGTGGCTTTTAAGCTTATATCAATGGCTTTTCATTTTTACGATCATACGTTCAAACTAGTAATATTGTGCGTCCTGTTAAAACCGCTTTCTCTTGTGATTTCTGCATTTCTAAGGACGGCGTTAATGTTTTTTCATATGGTGAAATTAATCCTGTTTACTTTGTCAGATTCGAGACAGGAAAGGTTGGTGTTGGGTTGTGGTTTGGGTTTTTGTTTTTTTTATTTTTCCCCCCTCAGGAAACTCAACATCAGCAACAATCTGTGACTATTCTGTATTTTGAACCCCCACCTTCTCCCACCCTCCCCGAAAAGTGACCTTCTCGGCTCTGGGTTATTTGGAAATCATAAGACAGTTCCCCACATTTTAACAGGGAAAGATTCCTTTCCCCCTTCTGTCTTCCTAGTCCCTCCTGGTCTCTGTTTCGGGTAAAGGTTATTTTTTTGCTCCGTGAGGGTCAATGGGAACGCTGCAGCCTTGTCTTTGAAATTGAGCCGCAAAACATCTTCGTCCGTGGGGTCTGAACACACCAGGTTTCCAGGCAGGACACTGTCAAGTCGAGGTGCTTTTTACAACTTTCCAATCACCTCCACACCTGCGGCTTTAGCCACATCTATTATTTCTGCGGCAGGAGTGGGTGGGCATGTGGCAACATGAAAAAGTGTATGTGAGGAGGTGAGGAGCAATTAATCCCTCACAGAGTTGTGCCCAGGTCTGTGTCCCCGTGGCCGTGCTTGGTGACCGGCTCACATGTGAGCGCACAAACAAGCGTGTGTTCGCAGAGGAGGAACGATCCTCTCGGGCGTTTATCTGTCTATTTTAACATGTTTCCTATTTTATCTCTCCGTCCCTTCTCTCGTTGGAATGTCTTTTGGCCATTTGCACCGGGAGACTGACTCGGAGTCCCGGTAGTTCCATTCAGCGGGAGATAAACCCCCGTCCCCGCGCTTAGATCGGTTCCCTGCTCGCAGTGCAGCACGAAGCTTGTGTTACAGTGTCAGGGTACGTGTGGTCATAAAACTCCCAGACCCACAAAATGAAGTTAAAGGGGTCGGGGCGAGCCCCACCGCAGCGATGCCGAGCGGGGAACACGGGGATGCCGCGCAGCGGAGCGGCCGCGATGGTGCCTTGAGCGGAGCCGCGGGGATGAGGAGAGAGCGGGCAGAGCGGCGGAGCCCCCGCGCCCCGCCGGGGTCGGGGCTGTGCGAGCGGCCGGTCCCGGAGCGTCCCGAGCACGCCCGGCCGGGCTCGGCTTAACTCGGCTCGGCTCATGTCGGCTCGGCTCCGCGGGCGGACGGGGCTCGGCTCAGCGCGGGGCTCGGCGAGCGCAGGTGCCGCCGCCCCCGTGCCCGCAGCGCGACCGCGGGGCCGGGGCTCCCCCGCGACGCGGGCCGCGAACCCGAACAGCGCTCCCCGACCCCTTTCCGGGGATCGGCGGCCGCCCCTCTGCTTTACTTTATTCCGTGGAGTTTTACCTCGCTTTAGCGGCTGCTTTCCGCTCCCCACCCCGCCGCCCCCTCCGACCCCCGGGGAGGGCAGCCCCAGGTGAGGTGAGGCGGGTGAGGCGGAGTGAGGCGGGTGCGGCGGGCTCGCCGTCACCCCCGTGCCCCGGCGGGGCGGTGCGGGGCGCGGTGCGGGGCGCGGAGGGGGCTCGCCGGGCGGGCTTTAGGACCCGGCGGCAGGGCCGGCGCTCGGCGGCCATGGCGGGCTCGGAGCGGCGGCGGCGGCGGCCAATGAGGGGCGGTGGGCGGGGCGCGCGCGCGGGGCCAGTCAGGCGCCGGCCCGGTTGCCTTATAAGGCGCGCGGTCGCCATGGCGACGCGCGCCGAGTTGCAGCAGCCGTGTCAAAGTTCACTCTCCCGCCAGCGGGGCGAGCGGCCGGCGGGGAGCGCGCCCGCCGCTCACTCGGCCCACACGCCGCCCGCACCGCCCGCCCGCCCCGCCCCGCCCCGCCCCTTCCCCGCCGACAGCGAGGGGAGGGGAGCGGGGGGGAGCCCCCGCTTCTTTTTTTTTTTTATTATTTTATTTTTTCAAATTTTTTTTTTTGGGGGGGGGGGGGGAGAAGCGCTGGCGCGCTCTCTCCCTGTGGTGGTGTTTTTTCGCCTCCCCCCCCCCGCCGCCCGGCTGAGGAGCGATGCTGCGCGCTGGGTTATGATCCTTCCCTCTCTCTCTCTCCCTCCTCCTCCTCCTCCTCCTCCTCCTCCTCTCCTCCTCCTCCTCCTCCTCCTCCTCCCGCTCCCCTCTTTTATCATCCTGGCTGGCTGGGCGCTGCTGCGCTGGCGAGTTGACTCCTTCCCTCCCCCCCGCCCCGCGGCCCCCCTCCCCCTGCCCGCGCCGTGAGCACCGGCGGCGCGGAGGCGAGAGCCCACTTGCGAGGCGGCAGAAGCAGCATAAGGCAGCGCGGCGGCGGCAGCGGCGGCGGGAGCGGCGGCGGCGGGAGCGGCGGCGGCGGCAGCACCCGAGCGGCGGCGGGAGCGGGAGCGGCGGCGGGGACGCGGCGCGGCGGGAGCGGCGAACCGGCGGAGCGGGGCAGAGCAGCGGCGGCAGCGGCGGCGGCGGCGGCGAGGAGGAGGAGGAACAAATAAACAATCATAATAATAATAATAATTCATAATAATAATTATTATTGCGAGAATAAGAATTTTTTTATATTAAAAAAAAAGCGGGGAGGAAAAAAAAAAAAAAGACCAACAGCCCCCCCCACACCCCCGAGCCCAAAAGAGGGAGCGAGAGAGAGCAAGAGCGCAGCGGCCGGGCGGAGCGGCGGAGAGGAAGAATTAAAGCGAGCGAAGGAGGGAGGAGAGACAGAGCAGAGAGAGAGAGAGAGGAGGAAAGAGGAGGAGGAGGAGGAGGAAAAAAAAAGCCCACAAAAACAAAGCGATCGCAGTTGATGTTGCTGCTGCAAGCTGGACTTCCAAAAACTACGGCGAGACCGACCGCTCTCCGCGCCGAGAAGAGTCTCCTCCGCTGTGCGTGTTTTTTTCCGCTGTGTGTGTAATCTTTAACCTTTTATTCATTCTTATTTTGATGGCTTTCCTGAATGGCTGACTGCGAGCTTCCCTGGACCTGGCCCCCAGACACCCGCCTCTCCTCCTTCAACTACTCTGCTGCAGATCAGCTCTAAGAGAGAGAGAGGGAGATCTTTGAAGAGATTTTTTTTTTCTCCTCTCTCTCTCTCTCTCTCTCCCCCTCTCTCCCCCACCCCCACCACCCCTTTACTTTGCTCTCCTGGAGCCCAGACAATCGACTCGCACCTCGCCCCCCCGCACACACACCTCCATCGCCCCGTGCTTCTACACCTTCGCCGGTACCGGGAGATCCCCCCACCCCGACCCTCCTGAAAAAAAAAAAAAAAAAAAAAAGAGGCAAAACAACAAAAGAGAGAGGGGGAAAGAGAGAGAGAGAGAGGGGAGGACAAAAAATAAAAAGACTGCTGCAAAGCTGATCTGAAAAGCAAAGCAAACAAACTTTGAAAATAAAGGGGGAACAGGAAGTTTGGCAACGGTGTCCAATAGATATGGCAATGGTAGTCGGTGCGTGGCGAGACCCCCAGGACGATGTGCCCGGAGCTCAGGGAACGCAGCCTTCGCAAGCCCCGCCGGTGCAGGGACCCCCGGCCGGGACCCCGCACACCCCACAGACCCCGGGGCCCGGGGGCCCTCCCAGTACGCCAGCCCAGACCAACCCGCCGAGCCAGCAGAACCAAGGAGACAAGCAGCAGCAGCAGCAGCACATTGAATGTGTGGTTTGTGGGGACAAGTCTAGTGGCAAACATTATGGCCAGTTTACCTGCGAGGGTTGCAAGAGTTTCTTCAAGCGGAGTGTAAGGAGGAATCTCAGCTACACTTGTCGTGCCAACAGGAACTGTCCCATTGACCAGCACCACCGCAATCAGTGTCAGTACTGCCGCCTCAAAAAATGCCTCAAAGTTGGCATGAGACGGGAAGGTATTGGGATTTCATTTGTTTTGCAATTTTTTTTTCACTCGCTGCGTTTTGGGGTTTGTTTGCTTTTTCTTTTTTTTTTAATTTTTTAAATAATATATATAATTATTATTATTATTTTTAACCTCCCTACCCAAACCCCAAACCCAACCAGAACCTTTCCTCCCCCTTACCCACCCCCCTCGAATAAACCAGCCAGAAACTTTCTCGTAATGAAAGAAAGCGGTGTTGGGGAGGGTGGGCAGGGAGTCAGGGGCTCTCGCATGCTTTCTCCTGCACTCGTAATTGATTTGTGTTTGTTTTGATTTTGCTGATGGAGGTTTATTGAAAGTGGATTTTTAGTTTCACGCTGCTTAGGAGCGAGATGATGATTCTGACGTGTGGTTACTTTTCCTTCGTGTTTCCTCCTGCATGCTCAACCTTAGCCCCTGTCCCCCGAGCAGCTCTGTGTGTGTGTCTGTCCATGTGTGTACGTACACACACACGGAGCCTCCCGAGATGCACACACACACATATATATATATCCTCCAGCACCCTGCCTTAGATTGCAATTTTACACAGGCGGTTCAAATTACTATTACAATGGGACTCACCCTACCGAGGCTCTACAGCACTCCACTGTGGATTCCCAGCCGGATTTTTCCTCCTTTAAAAATATATATACACACACATCTCCGCGTGTGTGTGTGTGTATATACATACTGCCGTGTGCCTGCCTTTCCTGGTTGTTATTACCTCACTTTTCTCTTCTTCCTCTTATTTTCTTGTTCCTCCGGGAGAGGCAGGAGGGGGTAGAAGGGATGGGGTGGGGGAGAAGAAGCAGCCCAGAAGTAAGTGTGGGGTGCTCGGGTCTCTGCAAGTGGAGTCTTTGTGATATAAAATTAGACGGGAAATGTGAGCCTGCAGTTTTCCAGTGCGTGCTCTGTGTCTGGACGCTGCTATGTAGGTTAAGGGTGAGGGGGCTTGGGACTCGCTGGGCTCCTCTCTTTGTGTTTCTGCAAGAGTAACTAACCTTGGAATACGGGCGATAACAAATATAAATCAAGCACATTTTTAGGCGTTCTCCCTTCTTGTCGTCTCTCTGCCTCTGAGCCCTTTTTCTCTCTCCTTTTTCTCTCGCTGTCACCGTGTAAATTTATTAACAAAATGAAAGGCCCACTTTCCATGGGCAGCGGGGGAAGGTGCCTTTGGATAATGCCCTCAGCCTCACCAGGGGACCTGCTGGGGATGTTGTGGGGTGATTTCACCTCCTTTGGTATTTTTTATGAGCGGGGGGGATACATAATAACAGCAGCAACAATGTATTCAGTGGGCGAGAAACGCGTGTGGGACCAGAGCCGGGGATTTCGAACTGAAGTGTTTCTTCCCTCTCCCCTCCTCCCTCCCCATCCCGCTCCCCTAGCCTCAAATCAATGAGCTGTTTTAGGTGTAATGAAGAAAAAACACCCGGGCACACAAAGACGTATCCTGCATTTCTTGAAGGAGGGGGTGGAGGTGGAGGGGAGGGGGGAAATAACTGGATTGTGGTGTGTTTTGGGAAGTGAGAAGCTGGGCTCCCGCAGCAGCCCTGGCCGAGCTCACAGCGTTCCTCAGCTTTTATTGTTGCTTTGACTTGACCCGAGAACTGCGGAGCATTTAACCGGGGCTGGGGCTGAACTCTGACTGGGAAAATGCATGTTCCCCCTGAAGCTGGCCGGGTCCGGGGTCACACAGGCACGCAGAAGCACACAAAGCAGGCTGTATTTGAACCGATGGTTGCAATTCAGATATTAATAGCTGTAGTTTCTTCTCTATTTACTGCAGCGGTCCAGAGGGGCAGAATGCCACCCACACAGCCAACTCATGGTCAGTTCGCCTTGACAAATGGGGACCCTCTCAACTGCCATTCCTACCTATCCGGATATATCTCCCTTCTTCTGAGAGCAGAGCCCTACCCCACCTCCCGCTTTGGCAGTCAGTGCATGCAACCCAACAACATCATGGGCATCGAGAACATTTGTGAACTGGCAGCTAGGATGCTCTTCAGCGCGGTGGAGTGGGCCAGGAATATCCCCTTCTTCCCAGACCTCCAGATCACAGACCAGGTGGCCCTCCTGAGGCTGACCTGGAGCGAGTTATTTGTCCTCAACGCTGCCCAGTGCTCCATGCCCCTCCACGTAGCTCCGCTTCTGGCAGCTGCTGGCCTCCACGCTTCGCCAATGTCTGCTGACCGAGTGGTCGCCTTTATGGACCACATACGAATCTTCCAAGAGCAAGTAGAAAAACTGAAAGCATTGCATGTCGACTCTGCAGAATATAGCTGTTTAAAGGCCATAGTCCTCTTCACCTCAGGTAGGCGGCATTTCTTTGCTCCTTTTTTTTTTCCTTCCCCGGGCCCCCCTTGAGAACTGTTTGCTCTTGCAAAGTGTTATTGCCTGCACCCCATCACTGCTTCCCTGGCCCCCCGAGAAACCAGCGCGGTCTCTTTCCTTTTAGGAAGCAGTGCCCTGTGGTCTCCCCTTCAGGGCCTCGGATCCGAGCATCCCGTCTTCAAGGGAGTGCAAATTAGAAAAAAATAAAATAAAAATAAAATACACACACACACAAAACTAAAAAAAAAAAAAGGACAACCAAAATACAAAAATGCACCCCAACCCTAGCTGAATAATGCTGGAGACTGGGAAAGAAGGGGCCCGGGAAGAGGCACCCATTTGCCACGAGAGACTGCGCTCTTCCCATTGAAAATAATATTTTATTTAACAGTATAGCTCTGGGTTGTTGCATTTAATGACACGCATCTGAACAGCAGCAAAATCTGTTTGATGTTGTTAAATACAAGTCATCCTATCAGTGAAACCACTTTAAAAAGAGGATCATTTTATGGGCAGCCAGGAAGGGAAAAAAGCCCTGCAGGATTAAAAATTGAATTAAAAAAAAAAAAAAGTGAAATGCACAAAGCTGAGTTTAAAATATGTTCCCTGCCATTCCATAAAATAAAATAAATCAACTTTCCAAAGAGCTGTCTCTGATTTAAACAGAATGTGGCAGTGAGCAGTTCTGTGTCATTTAAGCTAGGGAGAAAAGTTTGCATTTGTACCCAGCAGGAACTGCATAGTCCAAAGCGAGTAGCGGGTGCAAAAAGATCATTACCATAAGTAGACAGGGATAGTATGGAAAAGTAAGAGGAGGCTGAAGCTGCCGCTCCGCAGTGTAATTCCGGGGTGGCACAGCCATGCCTCTCCCGAGGAAAAGACCTCGAGGTGTTTCTTAGATAATCAAAGAGGGGAGGGGGGGGGAAATATGTGTCAACTTTTGCTGCCTAGAAATAGTGCATGAGTTATAAAGCAATAATTGAGTGCGTTGTGAAATCTAATTAGCTTGCACTAGAGTTTAACCTGGGTGAGTAATAATCCTGATATTAACTCTGGAGGCTAAATTTTTTTTTTTCTTCTGAGGGGAAAAAAAAATCTGCTCGCTAATTTGTGCACTACGTTATCTCAGATCGCTAACTTTAAGGCTGCATCGGCAACCCAGTGTGCTGGAGCCTTCGAAGTTTGGGGATTAAGTTTAAAAATACATATATTTCGTCTGTAACTCATTTGGACGCTTGGGAAAGTGGCCACGCGATAAACATATGAATGGAAGCAGGACCTGTAAAATAATTACTCATCGGAGTTTTTTAAAGCCTGATATCAGGAAACAGGAAAAAAATGTAGTTTATGTGGGAAAAGAAGGGCTCACAATCCGTTCCTTGTTGTGTTAAAGGGGGTCTGGGGAACGAAGTCATTTTCTGGACTTTGTCCAGGTTCTGGGTCGTGACCTAAACTTCCTTTTATATATTATTGCTTTACACATAAAAAACTTCTCCTTTTTTTTTTTTCCCTCCCCCCCAAATTACTCGTGCTAAATCCTTAGGTGATCAATGAGCAGGGCGCATCTAGCCACAGGGAGACAGGGATCCCGAGTGGGAAGGGGTGTCCGTGGGGTGCTTCTTTTATTTTTCTATCGTTTTTCTAGGATGCATTTTCCTCTCCCTCGCTCAGCGAGGATCCCACACACGCTCACATCCCTCCCCAGCCCTTGCCCAGCTCACACCCACACCGAGGAGTTTATTTCCAATCCTGCCTTTTCTCCCAAATCACTTTTTTTTTTTTTTTTTTTTAGCCTTCTGAGAAAACAATCGTCCGATCCTGTCGTAACTGTTTAATTTATGACTATTTTCAAAATGTGAGGCCTGGCGTGTAAATTGCCTCCCAACTAGATAAACGTTTCTTGTTATCTGATTCTGGTGAAGATAGTCGCATGCAAAAAAATATAGGGTGATGCTTGCAGGTTCTGCAGCACCCCAATAACCTCCCCTGATGTAAAGCAGACACACATAGATGCATATAATGTTTGCTGCAGCCTCTTTTAAGAGGGGGGGTAAAAAAATCTGGGTTCTAATGACTCGCAGAATATGCATGTGTTAGCCCTGTGCCTAGGAAAGCCACAGGGAGGTCAGGTCACAACCTGTGCTCTTTCAGCACAGACGTCTCTGATTTAAAGGGAACTTATTGTATTTTAGCGTATCAGGAAAAAAAAAAAAAGGGAAAAAAAATGTCCAGACCCTATCAGGGAGTTTTCTTCTTGTAAGGGCCTTTAGGTTTAAAAAGAAGAAGAAGAGGAAAAAAAAAAAAAGAGGGGGGAGTTAAGGGGGGGGAAGAAAGAAAGAGAAAAGAAAAGAGGGGGGAAAAGAAACAGCTCAAATGAACAGAGAGATCACAGTTTGCATGGCTGCCTCTGAATAGGCTAAACTGACAAGATCAGTTTTAAAGGGCCACTTAAATCAGTTTCAAAGACTGAAGAAAAACGCGTTGTCTTCTTTGGGGGAGAATCTGTTGCTGGATCCGGGGCGCCATTATCTTTGGCTGGGCCAGTTTTTTATTATTATTATGATTTCTATCACTATGAGTAGTATCGCTTCTCATTGCAGGGTTAGGCTCTCCCCAATTATTTTCCAAGGAGGGGGGGTGTGGAGAAATAGTGGCTCCCTTTCCCCCCTTTCGACTCAAAGCCTTCCCCGCCCCCCCAGCCTTTCCCCTGAAAAATATAGATATACAAAACTAAGCTTGGCCAGCACCTCCTTGCCAACCCCTCAGGTCTGTTGTGCCATTAGAAATCTCGACTCTGGGAGCTGTGCTCAATCCTAAAGGAGACCCTCCAGAAGAGAGAGAAATACAAACACATACACATGCACAGAGAGATTGTCCCTTTTGGTAAAACCCACTTAAACCCTGGGGGGCAAGGTGATGGCACACGATCGACACTTAATTCTAGGAATTAAGAAGAAAATCAAATTTAAAAAATTTAAAAAAAAAACCAAAACCTTTTTAATCTGATGATTGCTTTCTTTTTTTTTTCTTTTCTTTCTTTTTTTTTTTTTTTTAATACACTTTCTTCTAGATGCCTGTGGTCTCTCTGATGTAGCCCATGTTGAAAGTTTACAGGAGAAGTCACAGTGTGCTTTGGAAGAGTATGTTAGGAGCCAGTATCCCAACCAGCCAACACGATTCGGGAAGCTATTACTACGTCTCCCCTCCCTTCGCACTGTCTCCTCTTCTGTCATAGAGCAATTGTTTTTCGTCCGTTTGGTAGGTAAAACCCCCATAGAAACCCTAATCAGGGATATGTTACTGTCTGGCAGCAGTTTTAACTGGCCTTACATGTCCATTCAATAAAACATTCGAGAGAGAGAAAAAAAAAGAATCTTAAAAAAAAAAATTAAAAATTGAGAAGGGAGATGAGAGTGAAAGGAAAGCAAATGACATTTGGGTTCTGGTTGTTTCTTAAATTTCCTTCTGCTAAGAAAGGATGTAAAAGGATGTTACAAGTTTGCTAAGAGAAGACAGGAAAAAATTAATGGACTGTGAATTAAAAAAAGAGACTGTCAAATGAACTTTTACAGAATGCATTAAAAACTCCCGTGTCGTTCAGAAAAAAAACTTGCTACTTATCATTTTTTTTGTAAAAAATAAAAAAGAGGGAAAGAAAAAAAGAAAGAAGAAGAAAAGAAACGATGGTGGGCTTTTTCTTTTTTTCTTTTTTCTTCTTTTTTTTTCTTTTTTTTGGGGTAAACTTTTTAAAAAATCTCGCTTAAAGTGCATTTAAAGGAAATTTGGAGAAAATTAGCAGAATGGAAGAAAGTAAGTCTTTTTTTTCCAAATTATTAATTGTCCTATGTGTCTATGTACCTATAGCTGTTCTTTTTTGTATTTTTCTGGTTTCAAACCAGTTTATTCTGTGGTTCTATAATAATTTTTGATATAACCTTGGCTTCTTTAAAAAAAAAATAAACTGTGTATCCTTAAAATATATGTTCTGAAAGAATTAAAACTGAGTCCACGAAAGTATCATAGGAAGAAAGAAAAAGAGAAAAAAAACCCTCAACAACACAATGATGGAAGCGCACTTAAGGTGGTGACCCAAAATCTAGCTTGAAGCTGAGAGAGCTATAATTATATAGACCCGAATGAACCACACGTGTCATATAACTCCCCCCAAATCTAGGTTTTTTTGATATTTCGGACAGAAAATGAACTGTGGGGACTTATTATAGGTAGAAGGATTTTGTGTCCAAGACACACTACGGTTTTGATTTTAAAAAAACAAGCAAACAAGCAAAGTGAACTTTTGTAATTTGAATTGGGTTCCACATAGTTCATCATGAATTGTTATTAAACTCCTCTATCTGTTTGTATATTTGCAAGCCCTTTGTATTATAATAATTGTTGATATTTTCCCTTTTTAAAAAATACCATTGAAATCAGCATGACAAAATAACACTGTTGGCACTTATAGATAACGTGATTGATTCAGTATCTTAGAGTTTACAGTTTTGTGTTTAAAAAAACTGAAGGTTTTTTTTTTTAAGTGCAACATTTCTGTATACTGTAAAAGTTATAATAACTGAACTGTTTGGTCGAGTCTTTGTGTGTTATATTCCAAGGAAAATTGAAAGTATTCAGAAATTAAAATATTATTTGATATCTGAAACTTGTTTGGCTGTCATAAATGTCTTTCAGAAACCACCTTACTTCTCTATAGTTTGCAGTCATTTAAGTCCATAGGCGATTGATTTGTTTACTTGTCACAGTAAGTTTGTAGCAGATGTATTGTAGTGTATTTACCTGTTTAATTCCGGGATGGGGGTGGAGGACTTAAGTTCTTGGTTTATCTCTGGTTTTAGGAAGTACTATGCTGAAATGGTAAACCATCAACCCCCATTCATCTAATCCTCCTGTTATTTAAAAATGAATTTTCTGGAAAAAAAAAAAGGCCCTTATTTTTGTCACACTTAAGTGCCTGCGTAGGAAAGGTATTGTTGTGAAAAAGTATTAGAAATCTGGAGATCAGTATCTATTTTATGATCAGAATGGGGCGAAAAATCTTTTGTAAATGTCTGACATACGCGCACAAGATCATTCAAGCAAGGTAATAGCAGTATTGTAAATATAGGTCAGTTGTTTGCAATGAGTTTTCTTTAAGTATGTGTGATTTTTTATAATACTCCGTAGTTGCCATCTATCGTTGTCATTGAAAGGTCTTCAAATGGAGTGGCTTTAGCTTCTAGCACTGAGGAGTCGGTTTTTAATGTATATATACTCTCAAGTGGATTTGATTTTTTTTTTATTTTTTTTTTACCTTAGACTGTGAAAGCATGACCACAGGTCACCTCTCTATTTTACATATGGGCTACATGTCTGTATGTATCCTGGCATCCATACACGCGTGGGCGTAACATGCATCTTCCCTGTGTAGGCACAGGGCCCTGTCCTGCAGCCCTGGCACAGGCACAGCTCCCACCGGGAGTGGGACCTGCCTGGGCGGGTGGCACAGGACCGGACACACCACTGGGGAATTGAGTGCTATCCCGTGCAGGCAAAAAAAAAAAAAACCAACAAAACAAACAAACAAAAAAAAAAACCACCCAAAACCCCAAATCTGAAGGAAGGCAAGATGATGTGGTTTTGCAAGGGGTTGATATTTTGTTTTGTGTGTGTGCGTGTCATTTATTTTTTTTTTCTTTTCTTTCTCTCTCCCCCCGCCGCCCTCCCCTTGGTCTATAGCAGATGCTTTGTATGTGAAAGCTTGCAATTTTGTTCTTGTCTGAGGCTTCCCCCTCTCCCTTTTTACCACACGTAACTACACCATGTTGTGGTTTCACAAAAAGAGAGAGAGGGAGGGAGAGAGATCATTCTGTAAAGTCGATTAAACCCTGATCTTTAGTGTGTTCCAGTTAGGCACATCTGTACTGGGGGCTGAGGGGCGTATGACTGTGAATTTGAGCAGAGTTTTACATCTGAATCATGGCTCCTTTTCTATAAATATATAAATATATATAAATATATAAATATACTATTATTGCAGGGGATTGCTGACCTCTAGATTTAGCTTTTTCTATTGCAAGTGCTATCCATGTGAGTGTGTGTGTGTGAAGTTTTTATGCTTACTAAGAACACAGGATCTTGACTTGTTTGTTTTGTGTTAGTTTATTGTAAACAACCATTTGTTGTAAATTGTTATTGGCATTAAATTATAATTTATGATTTTCAAATCCAAAACATTCTCTGCTTTTTATGTTTTAAAGCCTGTAAGCTATCTCTGTATTTATAAGTTTCTTGCAGCGAGCTTTGGTTCACAGAGAATAATAGTAAACAGAAAATGCACCAGGGTTAAATAAAAACACACACACACACACACACACGCACGCACACACACACAAGCCCCATGTATATATGTTTGGAATGCTCAGAGGAGGATTTGTTTAGGGACTTCAGTTAGTTTTAAGTTTATAGCATTTAAAGAAAGTTTTTCTTTTCATGCTGAGTTAGAACAAAAGATCTATCCAAAGATTGAATTGGACAAAAGAGGAGGGTTGGGATCGAGAAGCTTGTTCTATGTGGAATTGAGGAGATCCTTTTTTTTTTTTTTTAAAGAAAAGGAAAAAAAAAAGAGCTGTTAAACATGGCGACTCTTTCCCTTTAAGTCTCTAATTTATTTTTTTTCCTTGCGGTTCCCCCCTTGCCAACCCTCCCTTTTATTATATTTTCTGCTTTAATCTGATCTTAGCTCGCTCTGTTCCTTCCCCCCCCAACCCTTGCCACCGGGACTGGCGGGGAAAGACCCAAAGGCGACCCGGAACGACAGCGAGAGCTGCGGAGCCGCCCGCGGTGCAACCCACAGCTCGGGAAAGGTTCTTCTTCACCCCCCCCCCCTTTCCCTTTCCTCCTCCTCCTCCGCTCCTCTCCCCTCCCCGCCGCCGCGATCCCAAAACCTCCCCCGGCCCCGCCGGGGGGGGCGGCGGCCCCGCGGGGCGCGGAGGGGGCGCGGGAGGAGGCGGCTCCCCCAAGTTCAGACAAAAGCGGGG